ATGATTTTGGATCCGACCGTGAGATATGAGACCAACGACCTCGATCAGGCAGAAAAAGTGGAAAGGGAGAAAAAACAGACATATGAGAAATGCATCCCTTTCCTTAGTGAAAAGTTCCGCGAGAGTTTCGGGCCGAGAGAGTTCCACGTGAGAGGCCTTTGGTTCGGAGCTCGCGGAACGATACCAGACTCAACAAGGAGCTTCATGGAGGGCCTTGGTGTCGACATAAAGGACGTGGCAAGGTTGGCAGAGAGTATAATCCTCGACTCCCTGGGAATCATCCACCACCATGTGCATGGGAGCGGATAGGGGGAGAGTTTGCTCGCGGGGGAAGGCATGCGTGTGTTACAGCATTTTTATATTATTATTTATTGAACACGTCCACTGTACTTAATGTATTTTTTATGTATTAGGTTAGAAATAGAGAGGAGAGAATGTGAGGAGTGGGAACATGTATAGGGGGAGAGAAGGAAGAGAAAGGGTACAGAATGATAATAAATGAATGAAAGAAATAGTAAAAATTATAAAATAAAAAAAAGGAGAAAAAAAAAAAAAAAAAAAAATAATAATATATATATATATACGTATAAAATATTGTATACTATGCTCATACATATTGTTAATCCTATATAATTGTATAATAATTTTAAATAATGTCTGTAGTGATTAATAAGTATGCTGTGTTGTTAGCAACCCAATGTAATTGGGCAGCACCATTTTATTCTATTTTATGATAATAAAGTGATTCTCTCTTGACTATAATAAGACCTATTTGGATTTACGGAGTTGAGCTATGGGGCTCCACTAAACCATCGAATTCCTCTCGCATCCAATCCTTACAATCCAAAATCCTTCGTAAAATCCTCAATGCTCCTTACTTTGTCACTAATAAAATTATCCATAAAGATCTTAATGTTCCTTATGTTTCAGATCTGGCCCAATCCAGATACCTATCCTTCCATAATAAACTTCAGAATCATCCCAATCCTCTCGTTTCTAACCTTGCTTCCTCTTTAATTCCTGATAACCCTCCGAGGCGTCTGAAAAGAAGATGGCCCCGTGATCTCCTAATGTAGTCATATCATTAGAGTGCTACCATTACACTTACTCAGCAAGTGTATTCATGTCATTATATCAATTATGTCCAAATTTACTTGATGTATTTATGTAATACAGTTGTAAATGTCATAAAGAAATTAAAAAAAAAAAAAAGACTCACTACCATTTTTAATTGCTAGTTAAAATGAAAAAAAATTTTCAAATATAAAAATGGTACTTTGCTTCTAAAGTAAAATCTTCTTCAAGAAAATTTGAAATTCAGCATTTAAGCCCTGTCAAACTATTTCAATGAACTCAATACCAGCCTTATTTTAAATAGCACTAGATTATATATATATATATATATATATATATATTTTTTTTTTTCGCTTGGCTCTACAGACCTTGTAGATCTTTGGCCGCCTGAACTAGCCTTCTCCACTTCTGCCTATCTTCGGCTACTGCTTTCCAGTTTGCGGTATGAAGCTCAGCCGTATCTTTGTTTATCCTATCTATCCATCGTTTTTGGCCTCCCACGTGGTCTCTTGCCTACTACTCTGGCATTCATTGTCGTGTAGAGGAATCCTGATGGATTACTGCGAGCTATATGCCCTGCTCATCTTAACCTCCTTGCCTTCATGTCATGAGATATTGACTGACCCGTTTCTTTCAGCAGTTCTTTATTGTTCCTTCTTCTCCATGTGTCAGGTTCTGGTCCCATATAGGTCCTGTTATCCTATGTAGAACTTTTCTTTCGAATCTCTCAATTCTGGCTTCTAATGTGCCGGTTAGAGCCCTGGTTTCACAACCCTACAACAGAACTGGCTTAATAACGGCGTTGTAAACCCTTATTTTGAGATTTCTTGAGATTTTTCTGTATTTCAGTACCTTTGAAAGAGAGAAGAAAGATCTGTTCGCACTTGTTATTCGCTGATCAATCTCTGATAGTTGAACATTTATTGAGATTAATGTGGAGCGGAGGTATTTGAATCTGTCTACTTTCGGGAATGACTTAGAGTCCACGCAGATCGTGTTAGGGTGGATGTTTCGGATAACTATCATGTATTTACTTTTATATATATATATAGTCATGAAGAGAAGAATATTTGGGGTGGTCAGTAAAATATTTTTCTCTTTATTATTCACGACAGTCAACCATTTACCATTATGTATATATATAGTCAGTTTAATCAAATTTGTTAAAGCCGTTTTTGAAAAAAATGCAATAATGCGTAAACTCCATGACATAAGGTGCAATTTCCGGTAAGTCGATTTTGGAGAAAAAAATGCTGTAGCAACCATATATCTGTCTTAAATACGAAATTCCAGTTTCATTTTCGTTTTTGAACTGGACTATTTACATGCACTTACACATAGATCATTCCGTGAAAACTTAGTCTATGTCCATGTGGTGACTGGTTACAGCAGGCTTAGTAAGGTTGCAACTTATCAACTGTTATTGGGCCTACTGATGTGATGTTTTAATAGATAACATAAATTCATATTTTTGTACGCCAGCGATTTTGTGCCAAGAAAGCTTATGACAGTTTAATATTGCTATAAATCTCTAAATAACAATAATAGGAAATTTTGTTTAAACTAAGTCTTTTTTTCTATGAAAATCGAGAAAATAACTAACGGATCTGTTTTTTCCCTACAATTTAAGATTTATATTTTACCATTATTTAAGATATTATTTTAGATATTGTGCTTATATATGATTTGTTGTTATAAAATTTATTGATTAGCTGATATATATTATTTGGGGAGGAGGGAGGAGGGAGAGAGGAGTTTATTTAGGATTGTTATGATGTCAATGATTTATATGTACTAACAACAGCGAAGTTAATATAAATGGCGGTTCTTCTGTGGCGGGGTGGCCGAGCGGGTTAACGCGCGTGCACAGCACCGCTCGTTGCCCGGCAACCTTGTAACCGAAGTTGTAAACGATAAAATTATTCCAAGTTCCTGTTCCAGTGCCGAGGGTTTTTTTTAACTCTGGCACTAATCCTCCGCCATCACTCCCTAGCATCACTTAAACTCGTGAAGAGTCTTGGGTGCAGTGTCCTACTATGTGAGGAAGTACTTTTACAAAGCTAACGGTTTTTCAGGGAGGTGATGGGGCCAATAGGACGCTCAACCGCCAAACTTTCTCCCTTAATTAATTTCCTAAGTAAGAGTACCCACTCTATAGAGGCTGGGTGTGCCCCAGGAGGGTCTCCCGACCCCAGGGTCGATTCACGGCTAATGAAAAATTATTTGTCATCAGTCGGATTCGAACCTGCGACCTTGTGCTCTGGAAGTCAGTACTCAACAACTGAGCTACGCCGCTCCCCACTTTTTTTCTAAAAAAATATATATATTTTTTTTTGTTTTATTTATAATTTTTTATTTGAGTTAGTAAAATATCAAAGGAATTTTTTTTATTTCACTTCAATAATACTTCATTGCTTATGTCAAACATTAAAGATTTAATCGTCTCTTAAACGACTACAAACGTTTTTGTGAACGAAACTAAAACATTCAACCATTTTAATAACAAAATTATTTCTTCTTACATCTTTAGTCAAGTAGAAATTTTCTTTCACAGTTAATGATTTTCGTTAAGGAACCATATTAATAATAAGAAAGTTAAAGGTAAATTTAATTTAAATTGAAAATCTCATTATATGCCTGGATGAGATTCAGGGAATCTCACTTGTGGGGAAATAAGTATTGTTTTTTCTTCCTAAACCAAGTTACATTTTTAGCCATTTCCATTGCTTTCTATAACATTTTTTTATTTATTTAATTAGTATCCATTCAGTGGGAGGGGTGGCCGAATGGGCTAACGAGTGTGCACAGCACCGCCGTTGCCCGGCAACCTGTCATATGAGACAACGATGAAAAATAGTTCCGAGTTCGCATCCCGGTGCCGGGGGAGTCTTTTAAATCCCCGCCCACACTCCCTGGGCCCAGGAGAACCCCGTATAGCCTTAAAGGCGAGGAAGGGGAAGACAAAAAATAAAATAAAATAAAATTATTATCCATTCTTTTATGCCTAAACTAAGGCATTTTAATGACTAATCCATTTTATATTTTCTTAATTGTGACTTTTTGTTCGACACATAGACATTTTATAATTAGTATACAATCTTTTGTATGTACACTAAGAGCCCTTTTTGTTCTATGTATATATACATTTTATAAATATATTTTTTCTTATAATATTTAAAGTTCCTAAAAAAATATAGTTATTCAAGGATTCATTGAAGTTCCATATACAGAGCTTGGAGTGTACACCATTTTTCTCTTCAGAATGTATTTCTTAATATCTGGCCGGTACTATTCTTTATTTTTCTTTTGGATATTGTTATTGAGTGTATGGGTCATCGGTATATCCAAAGTCACCCATAGCACCTTAATCTAATTTGGGGAGGAGAACTGCCCATTATAGCGGAAGACACAAGCTTTTATCTGTTTTACTGGTCCTTTTGTTCCGAATAGGGACTGCCCACTGGAAATCACAATGCACTACATATCTGCAAAGCTATAACAAGCTACATATAGCAAGGTTATTGTTTATCCTTATTAAATATATTTGGTCAACATTAAGATGTATAAGGGCATAATAAAAGTTTATTACAATATTTTGAAATGAAATAGTCTACATAATCTATATCAAGCTACTTCTATATAATATAATGAACAAATTGAATAACGGTTGTTTTTAATCCTAACACTTCCCTGCTTTCTAAGGTTTTCATGAAGGCAATTAGATAGTTTTAAAAAATTGATAGCAGTATTATTCTGAGAAAAGAAGACGGTTTTTCATTTATGTAATACCTATGTGTCAAACGAATCCTTGACTTCAGAAGACTAATTTTTGAATTATTTTATTCCTACCTCTGTGTTATATTTAAATATAAGTTATTGACACTTAGTTTTATAATGTTAATATAAAGACATTATTATTTGTTTAGGTCTTAAAAACAAAACATTACCCTTCGTGGATGATATACGCAATAAAATAATATTAAAAAGTGAGAAATCCACAAAACCAACTGTGAAACATAATTATACTTCTTTTATACATGGTCCATTCTTAAAACCTAAGGGTTTTGGTGAGTTAAACTACACTATCCAATCCTAGCTTCCTTACCTTTAACATTTGTTTTCATTTGAATCCTATTTCTATATAATCTACTTATACTTCATTATATTATATTTCAAATTTGTACCTACCAGTTCTCAATATTCATACATATTTATTTAAAATGTTTCATAAAGCTATGGAAAATAATGACAGCCATGGTCCTGGTAATAAATCTAAAACTGTGGATTTATTGAAAATTATGAATACAACTAGCAAAAGAGTTGTTCTTAATGTCATAAATAAAACAATTTACGGCTATAACCAAAGTCAAGCCAACAAGTCGAAAAACTATCTGAAAGATTTTGTTATTCTCCTTCTTCAGCATTTTATAGGTAAGTCTAAATCTAGTAGTTTTCAATGTATACTTAATTCTTTGAGATCAACATTTTTAGAGAAAAAAAAATTATTGTTATTTTTATTTTTATTTTACTGAAATTTGCAACTGTATTACATGAAACATACAACAAGTAAATGTGAAATTGGTAACATGACATGAACAGCATGAAGAGAAACTACTCATCGGTAGAACTCCAATGGAAGTAAAAAAACTATCAATTAAGTAAAAATCCTAAAATGGTCCACTTACTGTATATTTTACAAATTTCAAATTTCTAAAAAATAAATTCCTTCCATTCCTAAATATATTATTCTAAAATTAATAGCTCTATAGAAAAAGAAAAATCAAAATCTGGTGCGATGGGATCATAACAAAAGTTTCATTTATCACCCTGATTTGAATAGAAATAGGTGAAAATAAAAATTATTGGCTTTACAGCATATTAATTATTATCTGTTTTTCCCACCTGCCTAATTTATTAAATTTTTGTCACTGTCCATTTCCTTCTAATTTCAATATTTTATTTAATTATAATAGTGCTATGAATTTATTTAGTCTGACAAGAGTGCCAGTGATAAAGGAGGGTGCTTAATTTGTGTTAATTAATTAATTTCATGGTGGGTATTTTTATTTGTTTAAATGTAAGTATATATATATGTTAACTGTATATAGGATGTATATAAGATTATTCTTTAGATAAGCTAAATAATTGTTTAAAACACATGTTAATATAGAGAATTGAGATAAAACAAAAGGTGAGGTTACAAAAAGTGTTGTATTAATACAGTGTAGAAAACTTATGTAAGTGTTCGAAATAAAACCACTTCATTCCCACAAGCTGTGTTGTTATTTCTTCAGTCGAATCATAACTGGTGCCGAAACTCGAAGATTTCTGAGGTATAGTCAAATTCATTTAAGTAGTTAGTGATCTCAAAATCTCAAGCTATACGGCACATAATTATGGGAGAAGAAAAACTTGCAAAACTTGAATATGAACTGGCTCAGGCGGCGGTAAAACACTCGAAGTTAGAATCTGAGCTGACCAAGGCGACAGACACTATGCAGTTAGAACTATTGAAGATACGAACGCAGAATTCAGCGTTTATCCATGAAGTAATTAGTCAACTAGAACCTTTTACCGGAGTAATAGGCGATCTTGACCATTTCATTAAGGGAGGTGATCAGATAAAGAATCTGATATTGTCCCGAAGAGAAGAGGGTACACTACTGGATTCCGACGTGAGTCTTCTCGAGACGTCTCTAATCGGTCGTATATCGAGGCGTGTTTTAAATGCCATTCAAGGAGGTAAAATCACTGAAGAGGAGACACCAAAGTCCTCTCAGGCAGTCTACCAACACCCGAAATTTCGAAAAGCGCTCAGGTAGAGGTCCAGATGAAAGGAGGAGGAATCCAGAACGGCGCTGCTACGAATGTAACCGAACCGGCCACATAGCAGCCCAGTGCAACCTCACAAGGTGCTACGAATGTGGTAGGCGAGGCCATCTTGCAAGGGAATGCCCAAGACGCAACCCACGTACAAATAGGAGGGATCAGCAACACGAAAGAATGGAAGTCAATAATCAGGATTGGAGCGGCAGGCGGCCAGACAGCAGGAGCGGCAAGCGCTACACCAGCGGGGACTCTTCGGAAGAAGAGAGCGTCTGTTCTGAGCGCAGCAGCCCGGCTACGAGGAAACCCGAGGTAAGTAGTGGGAGTCCTTGGAGGGGAGGTCCTTCCGTAAAGGAAATAACGGCGGGACGCAACCGTGCAGATTGAGGATACGGCAACGGGTGGGACAACCAATCGAGTAATTTAATAATCAATAATAGTGGGACAAGCGGACGGTGGACTAGGTTGCCCGTGGCGAGGTTAAGAGATTCGAGAATAAAATTTTTAATCGATACGGGAAGCACTAATTCATTAATAAGTAAAAGAGGGGCTGAGAAACTGAGTATTTGGGGCGAGCGCAAGCTGTGTAACTGCTTCGTGTCTACGGTAAGTGGTAAATGCCAAACTTTAGGAGAAACCTCATTGAACCTCTATAAATTAGCAGGGATAAATTCGCGGATAAAGGTTCACGTCATCCAAGAATTAATGCCGGGATACGATTTAATTATAGGGTGCGATATCCTCCAGCGAACGGGTCTAAAGATGAGAGTTAGCCACAAATCTTGGAGTTACATTATAGGAAAGCGACAATACCAAACCACAACGGAGGGAAATAGCGAAACTATCAAAATCGGGGCAATAGATTGCGTAGAGGAAGCGATAGCACAATTGGTAGAACAGAACAAAGAACTGTTACCGCGAAAATGAGTTTTTACCGACCACAGGGAAAACTGTACATCGTATCCATCTAAAAACGGAAGCCCCTATATATGTTAAGGATAGGCGATATCCTCAAGCTATGAGGGATATCATCAGGGAGCAGTTAGGGGAACTCCTTCAGCAGGGAATAATCAGACCCAGTAACTCTCCATTTAATAGTCCATTATGGGTAGTCGAGAAGAAGCAAGGTGGGCAGGGCGAAAGGGCGAAACAGTATCGAGTGGTAGTGGATTACCGGAAGTTAAACGAGGCAACAAAGGACGAGAGGTACCCCCTCCCGCGGGTCGAAGACATACTCGATCGCCTTTCGGGTGCAACCATTTTCAGTACGTTAGACCTCAAGAGCGGGTATCACCAAGTTAAAATGGCCGAGGATGATGTAGAGAAGACGGCATTTTCATGGAAGCGAGGCCACTTTGAATTTGTTCGGATGCCTTTTGGGTTAAAGGGGGCCCCACTAACCTTTCAGCGCCTCATGGATGAGCTACAGAGGGGACTGGGCGAAGACTTTTCCCAGGTTTACATGGACGATTTAATTGTCTTTAGTAAATCGGAAGAGGAACATGTAAACCACCTGCGACAAGTCTATAACAGGTTACGTGAATTTGGACTTAAATTATCACGTGAAAAATCTGAATTCGGATTACGCGAAATTCGTTTTTTGGGCCATATAGTCTCAAAGAGAGGGGTGCAACCAGATCAGGAGCGCGTAAAAGCCACCCGAGAAGCACCATTACCTAAAAACGTTCGAGGGATCAGGCGGTTTTTGGGAATGATAAATTACTACAGAAAATTCACTCCTGGTATAGCGGAATTAACGCACCCATTAACCGAAATTTTGAAAAAAGGGAAACGATTTCAACTAAGCGCTGAGCATTTAGCAAGTATCAAGAAATGCAGAGAGATTCTTACCACGAGACCGTTGTTAGCATTTCCTGATTTTAATAGAATATTCAAAATTAGCACGGATGCAAGTGAGGTCGCTATTGGGGCGGTCCTATCACAGAATTTTGAAGAAGGTGAAAAACCCATTGCATACGCGGGCAGGAAACTAAACGATGCTGAGAAACGATACAGCGCTATCGAACGAGAACTTCTAGCAGTAGTGTGGGCAGTAGAACATTTTCGTCCATACGTATACGGGAGACGGTTCGAGTTGTTAACTGACCACAAACCTCTAATATACCTAGGTACACTTAAAGAATCGTCAGCACGGGTATCGCGATGGAAAGAACGTCTCGCGGCATATAACTTCAATGCGGTGCACAAAAAAGGAGTCGAAAATGTCGTGGCCGATTGGTTATCACGAGATTTAATAGTGAATGCAATCGAGGAAGAAAATATTCCCGTGGAACTGTTAGCACTAAGATCGCGAGAATGGACGCAAAGTGAGCCCGAAGGCTCACCAGTTGACAGTGAATCGGAGGAAAACGTCATCTCGACGGATAGACCCCAGGAACTACCTGAAATAGATGAGATTGTCAATGATAAGAAATTTCAGATAATCATTAAGTCAAAGCTGGGTTCTGGGATGGAAACGCGGAGGAGCGTGTATGAGGGTTTGGCAACTATAATAGTCCGTACGCCTGCATCAATAGACGAAGCCGAACTGGAACGAATCTTCGCGGAATTCAGCAAACCCGGTCGCAACTGTTACGTGTATTTAGGAAATCGGACAATCCTGGACAAATTAAAGAGGTTGTGGAGGCAGGAAAGGGTAGGAATGGGGTATCCCTTAATTCGATGTTTAAGGCAAGTGGAGACGATCGTCGATCCAGCGGCGCAATTAAAACTTGTTACTGAACATCACACGGGGAAAACGAACCATAGAGGAATAGAAGAGACACTGCGTGCGTTAAAATTATTATACTACTGGAAGAATATGGGCCGAACCGTACGCGAGTGTATTACGCTGTGCGAAGTATGCCAGCGAGCAAAGTATGATCGCCAACCCCCGGTAGCACAGCAGGTAGCCACACCCACCGCGACTGAACCTCTGCGATCAGTACAAATTGATATCTATTCAAATGAAGGGCAATCGTGGTTAACGGCGATAGATACGTTCAGCAAAATCGCAATGGCCTATCCCATCGAAGCGAAAACACCTAGGGCAATATGGGAGGGAGTATTACAATGGTGTGCGACGTACGGTGTACCCGACGATATCGTATCGGATTGTGGAAGAGAATTTGATAATTCACTAATTCGGAACGAAAGCAAAACGTTGGGTATCACATGGCGGTTGAACACTCCGCATCATATTAAGGGTAGAGGCAGTGTGGAACGGCTACATAACACATTAGGGGAACAGGTTATTTAAATTGGGACGAAATCTTGACCCATACGACGCTATGCCGCGCGCGGTGATCGCATATGATAACACGCAGCGACGGGGTTATCTCCCGTTGAAATCGTTTTTGGCGAAAGACGGCGGGACAGAGGCGACTTAATCACGGTCAATAGTACTGACCTAAAGGCGAATCTATACAGGGCGAGAATAGATCGCCAAGGAACGTGGGCATAGATTAGAGAAAGGTTGATCCGCAAAAAACAGATTCGAGTGGATAGAGCGAATAACCGATCTGTAGTTTATAAGAAGGGTCCGTTGGCGCTGGGTACTGTTGTATATAGGCGATTAAGAACCGCTAGGAATAAAACAGCTGCGC